TTGTGCCTCCTCTCCAATGCAATATGTTGGCAACAAATGGGTGTTTCGAATCAAAGTTTGTGCAAATGGCTCTGTTGAAAGATTTAAAGCTCGTCTAGTGGCTCAAGGTTTTTCGCGGCAGCCTGGAGTGGATTATTTTGAAACTTTTGCTCCTGTAGTAAAGCCTAGTACAGTGCGTTTGGTCTTATCCTTGGCTCTTCAGCGAAATTGGTTCATGCACCAACTCGATGTGTCAACTGCATTCCTTCATGATGAGTTATCTGAGACTGTTTATATGCGTCAACCTAAGGGGTTTGAGCATCCAGATTATCCCCATTATGTCTGCAAATTGCAACGTGCTCTATATGGTCTTAAACAATCTCCGAGGGTTTGGTTCCATTGTCTTGCTCGTTTTCTTCTTGATCTCGGTTTTAAGCAATGTGTTTCGGACCAAAGCATGTTCATTTTTCACTCTGGGGGTGATTGCATTATTCTTTTAATTTATGTGGATGATATAGCTGTTTTTGGTTCTTCAAAGTCCTTAATATCACAATTTATCTCTTTCATGAGTACAGAATTCTCAATGAAGGACTTGGGACAACTTCACTACTTTCTTGGCATTGAGTTAAAACATAACTCTTTGGGACTTCTCTTACTGCAGCGTCGTTACATTACTTCAATTATGCATTGCTTTAAATTGGAGAAGTGTAAACCAGTGCTTACTCCGCTTCATAGTAAGCTTGATTGGAATTCCACCTCTTCTCCTTTGCTTGAAGATCCTTCTATCTATCGTCAAATGGTTGGAAGTCTACAATACTTGTCCTTTACTAGGCCCAGATATTCAATTTGCTGTCAACCTTGCTTCTCAATTCCTTCACCAGCCGAGACAATTGCATTTTCAGGCGATAAAACGGATTTTTCGGTATCTTAGTGGCACCATTGATTGGGGCTTACAGTTGTATAAAAATTCTCCCTTGGCACTTACTGTTTTCTCTAACTCGGATTGGGCTGGTTGTTCAGCCACTAGGCGGTCTACAACTGGATTCTGCATTTTTCTTGGCTCCAACCTCATCTCTTGGTCTGCTAAGAAGCAGCATACTATTGCACGCTCAAATACTGAAGCTGAATATCGAGCTCTTGCTGTTGCAACTGCTGAAGCTACTTGGCTCCAATATATTCTTCGTGATCTTGGCGTTTTTCTTACTTCTACAGTCTCCGCAAAATGTGACAATATTTGAGCCATTCATCTGGCTCACAATCCAGTTTTTCATTCCCGTTCCAAACATGTTGCATTGGATTATCATTTTGTTCGTGAAAAGATTAGCCATGGTGATCTGGTGGTCTCTCATGTTCATACCTCTGAGCAACTTGCAGATCTATTCACCAAAGTATTGCCTTCCACCCATTTTCGTGAGCTAACAGCCAATCTTCACGTTCATTCTTTCCGTTCAGATTGAGGGAGGGTGTTAGCGTTATCTTTTAGTCAATTAGTTGTATTAGGACTTTATTTGAATTATTCTTGTAATTATCCTTTTCACATATTGTTGTAACTTTATCTTATAAATACAAGTCTGGAAAGGTGAGCAATACTCACTCTTTGACGCTTCTCAGTTTATCAATCTCATCTAACATGACTTTGTAATAGTGTAAATTCTTTCGGGAATCAGATTCTTTTTTGGATGCGGATCTAATTTGTAAGTTATGGATTTACTTTAATTTTTGGTAACTTTTGTTCAAATCATATATATACATATATTAATAAATTTATTAAAATTTATAAATATTTAACTGAAAATTCATTTGTTATTATATGTTAGCTTGAAGTCGGGGCCTATCCATCAATAATTCTTTTTTCCTTCTCTCTTTCTATTACCTTAAAACCAAGAATATATAAAAGTCTTTCTTTCTATGTATATGATTTTATACTAACTTCCATACCAAATTGAGCAATATTGTGCTAGGTGAGTTCCATAACACAATCCAGGGTATGTTTTTTCTACAATCGACTATAGAGAAAATCTCAATTTTTGCTACTTTCTTAAAACTTCTAAGCAAGATAAGTCGACATCAGAAGTATTAAGAGAATTGAAGTGATGATTAAAAAATTAGGCCTGAATTTTGTTGCTTCCTTTATTAAAAAATATTGAGATTGAAAACTACTTGTCAAAGTGGCCTTTTTGGGACTTGAAAATCTAAACTAACGACTTTTTGACCAACACAAATGGCCACCTAAGGGTTCCACGGCTAGCTTGGTATCTAATTTCTTCGTACTAGAACAACATGTGACTTCCGCTATAACTCCTGAAGTGTAAATTTTTTTTTCATGGGCATTAGGTTTATTGCTTCAAAATGAGATACACGATATATTTGAACAACATGTGTTTGGTTTTAAGTTGGATGAATTTTTGTTTATTATTTTACCCTTTATTTTAATACTAAAGAAAGGAAAAGGTAATCAAGGATATTGGTCTTTTACGTGCTTTATCCAAGGATTGCTAATTTTGATTGGAATTCCATGTTGAATCTGGCATAAATTCTAGTAGTAAAAGAATAATCTCGATATTTTTTTTAGTTTCCTTGTCGTAGGTGCTCATTCTATTTTGGTCATTATCTGAGCTAATGGTCAATAATAACCCTCTAATTTGTTATATATGATGCATATTAGATATTAATATAAGTATCATAGTTTATCAAAAGAAAAGGAATCTAATTTTCGCCATGCTTACGAAATGGTGAGACTGTATATAAGTTTAAAGAGACAATAATGCGATATTTTTTTCGGGTTTCTTTTTCTCGTTTGATTGACAAAACAAGTATAACTTTAGAAGTACACATTACAAATTTCTAGCTCAATAGTCTCCTATTTATGTAATACTATCTACTACGTAATTTTTTTAAAATCGGCACTGCTTTTCTGGTTTTATTGCACCTTTATGTCCCAAATATCTAACTTACTTTTCATTGACTACTTTCTTTTCATTGACTTTTCTTTTATTCGACTTGCACAGATTTCGCAGTTATCGATTTTTCCAAACAAATAGATTTCTTCCCCTTGAATTTATGTGTTACTCTATAAGTGGCTTTTTCTCTTCGCTGATAGCTAAGCTATGTTTGGGGACGAATAATGCAAAAAGGAAAATAAAGATAAAAAGAGTACATTATATTTTTAATTGTATATATATGACTTTGTGTGAAGAAGAATATTACCCTTCTAAGTAGCTAGGTGCCTCAGTACGTCAAGGAGATAATAATCGTATCACATATTTTGTTAAGAGACATGCAAACCTCTCGATGACAGTGATAGCGTCACGAGGATTGTTCAATATAATGTTTCAATAACATATGAAATACTCCCTCCGTCCCAAGAAAAATGATAGAGACAAACACGTTAAATTTTTTACCGTGGATTTTTATATTTGTTTTAAATATTTTAAATTATTAATTAGTGTGACTTAAAGTACTTTTTCTTTAGTTTTTAAATGTATAAATTGTATTTCAAAATACTTAAAGATTACATGCCAGAATTCAAGGTCAAACTTAAGAAGTTTGACTCTCGAAATCGAAAGTGTATCATTTTTTTCTGGACGGAGGGAGTAATTTTTTGTTCGCCAATTGCCACGAGCCAAGTTAACCTAGCTACATTTCCCGTTGTTGTGGTAGGCATTTTAATTTCGAAAAGTGAGTCTATTTTCTTGTGATTGTGAAATAAGTATTGATAGTGGATATAATCTTGGATTAGTACGAACTACGGTAAATACTTATTTAATTAAGTCTAATTTATCCAAAGCGTGCTACTATATTTTTTTTATTTCACATACTTATTGGGATAGATCACTGCCCACTTATGATTTACAGCAACTCATTTGCAGATCGATTCCTCTTCATCAGCAATCTATCAAATTGACTATTTCCACTCAAATGTAGGTTTACTGAAGCGCAATGGGGTATTTCATGGGTGCTCAACCCTTTACGAAAAAAGTAGTTTAAGATGGAAATAATACTATATGGTCCTCATATATATTAATAAAAAGGAAGATTTATACAGCAAGAACAGTCGGTTTTTAGTTAACAGTGTCAATTACCTTGTAATCCATCCGCTTTAATTTATCTGAGTCTTTCGTTTAAAAAAGAATGATCTTTTTTTTTAAATCAGGAAATCAGTTTGTCACGCCTCCTTTTTCCCCCGAGGGGATAGGGAGTTTTTCCAATTTAAGTGACATTAATCGAAATGGAATTATTTATTTAATTTCAGAGTCGCCACTTGGGATAATTTATGGTGTCCCAAGTCACCGGTTTATTTTAAATCCCAAATCGAGGAAATTGACTCTATTTTTGGTTCGCGAACACAGAAGACCGGGTAAGGAATTCTGTTAACCCGGGAGAAGGTGTGAGGCACTCCCGAGTTCCGTGATTTTAGCACGGTCGCTCAACTATTAATAATTGGCCTAATTATCTGATTAATTACATGTTTTAAACCTATTGTGCATTTTTAACTTTGTAACCGCTTTTATTAATTTATGGAGTTATTTTTGGAACAAGTCACGATTGTCGTACACTTGTAGTTTTGGTACACATTGCAAACCGCGCCGCATGAAATGCACCCGCGATTTACAACATGTTTATTTTATTATTATTAGAAGTTGTGGTCGGGTCACATGAAATGCACACCCGAATGGAATTTATGTATTGTGACTGTTTGCTCAAAAGTTATTACATACCTTATGAGTACAAAACAATACGAATAAATCACGGAAAAATCATAGCAAACCGTAATAATCCGTTGGACCAAATGAAAGAAACGAAAATAAGTACTCAGGATTAGGGGGAGAAACATTAGAAGCCTTTATTGATAATATTGGTTTGGTCTGCCTCTCCATGAAGAGGTTCAGAGCCTTACAATGGTGTTACTCTTTCCCATAATTTGGGTATCGTTGTCTCTTTTTTCTCTCTCAATAGTGGCCCCGAAGAAGCCCCCCTTTCTAGGGTTTCCTCTCTTGGTATTTATAGCTGTGATCTTCGTGAGCTGGCAATAAGTGGCCGTGACCACGCTGGGATTTTGCCTTCATGGTGGCGGATAGGCCATGGCCTTGCTGATCGAACCAGATGCGGGTTGAATATCATTAATTCTGAGTGGTCGTGCCACTAATAATCATGAATTAGCTTAAGACGGGATTAGCTTCGTTAATTATCGTGGGGTCGGATTCTGACCCATACAGTTAGTCCCTCCGCTTATTGAGGTCGGGCCTTGGCCGAGCTCGATGAGTGGATTCCATTGACTGTAATTTGAGAAACTCGGATGGGGAGGTCGACTGTTGCTTCGGTCGAGGCCGAATTCTCTTTGGCGATGGCCCTTAGCCTTGTAGAGTATTAGTATCCAGTTATTGTGCTATCAAGTCATCGTTCGATCGAGGTCGAACTCTCCTCCTGGGCGAAGGCGCTTGACCTTTTAACTTACTTCGAGTGAGGTCGAGCTTCATTGTGCTCTGATCCTTGCGTTTGTTTTGGGTGCATACCCGTCGACCATGGCGGACGGGTCGTATGTTGTGCGGCCGAGGGGAGTGAAGGCACGCTTGATACGTGCTTGGCGGTGTCAAAAAATTTCTAGGGCGCAAGGAGCATCTCCTCAGCATTCATAGGTCGTTATAACTATTTCGAGGGCGAGACGCCGATGGGTGATTGCAAGGCTGCTTTATGGAGCCTGTCATAATGACGCACATTCCTATGGAATCGAACCGGTGTGCGATTGGTCATGTAGTTAATGGTGGCTGTTGGGGTGCATGAAGGCCACTTGCGTTGCCTATAAATAAAGGCTGAGGCATTCATTTTTCATATTCTTATTGCTTGTCTGAGAGAGATTCTGAAGAAGCTTTTCTTACTGCTGTTTCACCTTCGTCTTCGTCCCCCGAACCTTGTTTCTTTCTCGTTATTGTATCAACAATGGCAGGCATTTCTTCCCAAAACGTTCTTCCGACGGATCTTCCGGTTAACTCACCGGTGACCGAGGGGCCATTTCCGGCGATGGGCGATGCAGAACT